TATTACCCTATATTCACCATTGAATAATACCCTCCCCTTCCCTGGCATTTTTTTGTCTACTGTATAAGAACACAGCAAACACAAAAAGAGGAATGAAAATTGTAAACCATGCACAAGCAGATATGTAGGGGGGTTTGAATGTGGGAATGTTGACTGAACCCTGTGAACATCAAACAGCAGAAAATGAAGCTTTCTGTTCATTCATTCATTCATACAAAATTTGGGAACATAGTGGCAAACATATAGAGAATACTGTACTTGAAGTTTTCTCTACAAACTTATTTTGGACGCATTTTATTTTCAAAGTATGAAATTCAATAAAATAAAGGCATTATCTTCCTGATCAGTGGCAATGATTGGAATATTTTTTGCTTTTCAAAACTTTCAATATCCATCATCATCGTTATTATTCATGACGTTTTGTCACCTAACGTATTTTTTTCCCGCGAGATAGATTTTCGAGTCCTGTTTCTTAATGTCATTCGTCCGCGGCTGTTGGAAAAAAATATGTGGAGGACTGGAATTCGTTGGCGGTGACGAGTTATGCAAATTTTGCCTCACTTGTTTATTCCATTTGTTCTCTTTTGTTTTATTTTTCGTGGGAAGGCTCATGACGTGTATGACCTTTGCTGGCGGATCAGCGTCAGGCATGCGTTTGAAGCCCTTGACACCGAATCTCTTTTTTTTTTTTTTGCTGGTTCACAATCCGAGCCTTTGCATTCTTTCCATTCTTTTGCGCTGTTGCGGTGGAAAACAAAGCAGCAATGTTCGAGTCTTGTTATAAAGACAAGAAAAAATATCATGTTGTGCTTGGTGAGACAATGAGCTTTTTGTTTGTCGAGGAAAAGCTGGGGTTACTTTTTTTTTGGGAACGAATGCAAATTTTAAATTTCATTCGTTTTTTTTAAATTTTATTTTCGAACATCCCTGAGTTGGTCAGGGGTTTTCTTTTCTTCTTTTTTTTTGGGTTGACCTTCGTTATGAGCAGTGGCTGCGGAATGCAAAAAAATAAAATAAACCTTGCGAAATGAATTTTTTTGTGGAAGAGATGATCGAATCACGCTTTCGTGTCGAATGCCTGTATGAAAATGGATTCATTGGACACGCGTGAGGCGAAAACCGCGATTTTATGAGTGCTAAAAAATTGAAGAAAGCAGAAGAGAGTTCGTGTTTCTCTGTGAGTGCTTTTCAATGCTTAAGAGTAATTCTGCAATTGGAAAGGTTTGAATTGATCGAATACTGTAACCGGTATTTTTTTTCTCATTCACTTCAGAAGAGTAACGTTACAAAAGAGCTAGTGTTCAGAAGAAGAAGAGAAAAAAAATAGATGAAGTCTCAAAGAAGCGCTTGTGAGCAAAATAGCGCAAATTTTGTGCCAAAAGCTTAGCTTAGATTCGGTAACTGGGCCGGTTTTTTTTGTCTGTGCACTGTTATCTTTGAAGATTTGCGATTGATTTTAGAAAGACAGAGAGTCTCTTAATTTTAAGCTAGGACATATTATTGCAAACACTTTTTGTGCACTTTAACGGTACTTTTTTTTTCTTAGCACGCATTTTCTTGAGTTGAATTGCTTTTTTTTCAAGTCGGTAGTTTAAAATTGGACGTACTTTCCTTGAAGCCTTGTAAAAATATCATTTCAGGCATTCTAGATGAGAAATTCATCCGTGATCGCGAAAAAAAAATTAGAAACGTTCAATAAAAAAATCTTTTGATCTTTTTTTACTTCGGATCATTGAAAGGTGATTGACAACTATCTCCATTTGTGTGTTGTTCGCATTATGTCCCGTTATCGGAAAATTGCTCTCTTGTTCGAATGATTTCATCGCAATTTTTCAATGGGCTGTTCAACTTTGATTTACGGGGACGTCTGATGGGATTTAAATGCGAAAGCTGTTGGTACAATATCCTGTCAAGGCCGTTTCATGTGCGTACAGTATTCAGGGAAACGAATTCTGGAATGATTATTATTATTATTTTTTACAATTTCTCAATGGTGTTCAAACGCCACTTTTTCGAAGACACGTGTCTTATTTTGACTCGTGAAAAAAACGTTTCTCAATTTCTGCTAGAAATCGCTTCATGTAGTGAATTTTGACGGTTTATCCGTTTTGTGCGCCGTTTACTTCAAACCATTTATATTTTATGCTAAAGTTTTTCGTGAGATTAAAAAAAGGTTCCCTCTCAAAGAAACTCGTGGAAATGGACGGGATTCAAATGTTGAGGCTGTTGATGCAACTTCTTGTCAAGGCCAGCTTCCTGTTTGAAAATGTGCAGCATTTAGGGAAGTGAAGTTGGAATGATGGTTTTTTTTTTCAATCTCTCAATTGTGTTCGAACGCCGTTTTTTCGAAGCCATGCCTGGTCTGATTCGACTCGTGAAAATGTTTCTCAATTTCCGCGATAAAAATAGATTTTTGTCAGATAATTTTATACTGAGTGTCTGACATGTTATCCGTATTTTACGCCCTTTAAAGATTACCATTCACATTTTTTTGGCTAAATTAGTTTTTCAAGAGTTTTTCGTGAGATTCGAAGAAAGTTTCCTTTCAGGAAAATCCTGGTTTATTTCCGAGTCATGAATGCGAAAGTAATTCTAATATCCCAAGAGCGAGTTTTCAACTATCAAATCTCGAATTTGTTGTTCTGTTCGAATTATTTTGTAAGTATTCTATGGTACGTTACGTTCGAATAGCTCAGTTTATAGTTTAAAATTTATTATGATTTTAATAAATATAATAAAAATTGTTTAATGATCATAATTTTTTAATAATCCTTATTGTTTAATGATTTATATACATTTTTTGTGTGTTGGCTTTTTTATAGGTTTTGTTGGAGTACTGACTCCTAAAGTGCTGAAATGTTCGGAAATTCGAAGAGCGATTTCCGAAAAAGCAATTTTAAAATTTGCAGTTTTGTTTTCAAATTATGCTGGAATAATTCTACGCTTTGGAATAATTTGGTTTGCAAGTTATTATGCCTTAATTACCGGCTCTTTTGTGTGTTCACTCCTTTGATGTGTGCTTTTTTTTGTTATATTCTCGAACGCTAAAATATTCTGATATTTGAAGAGCAGTTTTCGGAAGATGAAATTTTAGAATTGCTATTTCGTTAAACTTATGTTCGAATGAATATGCGATAGGTTTAAATTTTAATACTTTATAGTTTACTCGAAAGTATAAGTTATTAAGCTTTACCGACGCTTTCCAAAGTGTTGGTTTTTTTCAGGTGTGATATTTTGCTGGAGTCCTAATTTTTAAAATGTGCCAAAATTCTGAAAGCTAATATAAAAAAAAACGAGATTTAAAATTTACTGTTCTGTTCAAATTATGTTGGAATAATTCTACGCTGAGTTGCGTTGGAATGTGTTATTTTTCAAGTTATTACGACCTGTCGGCTCTTTTATGCTTTCGCTACTCTGAGACGTGCTCTTTTGTGGAACGCTGAAACCTTTTCAAGTTGATGATGATGATGACGAAACAGTGAAACATATTCTTGTTTCTCTTTTATTTTCCAGAAAAAAACCTCTTCATTCGTAGCATCGTGGAAACGAATCCAGTTTTTGCGCAGGAACTGCGTGTGAATCGTCGTCGTCGTCGACGGTGTCGCGTTCTTATTTGGTGTGTGACGTGATACTGGTGCCACGAAGGACACCAACAAATAAAAAAAAAAAGAGTCGACGCACTGCTCAGCAGCTGATTCCGTGACACTCGACGCTTCCCATCGCTGCGTGTGTCGTCGATTTATCCCCCATACGTGTCGACACAGTCTTTTGCTTGTGTTTTTTTTTGTGAGTGTCTGTGTGATTGAAAATTGGGAGGAAAAGAAGTGGTTGGATCGCATATTTTTTTTTCTCTTGGGGTGTGGGTGTTGTGGACCCGGTTGAAGTGTGCGAGTGGAATTTGACGCGGTATACTTGACCTGACTGGGGACATGACGAATCACCACCAATCGGACGTGCATCATCATCAGGGCGACCTGTGGGCCCAATGGTTTGCCTGCTGTTTTTCCAACCAACAGCCTCATCATCCAGTGAGTTGTGCCATTATTGCCATAAGAATAACAAGGACGTGATTGTTCGTGCAATCGAAAAACGAATATTAAAAAAAATATTTTTCGTGTCGTTTTTACACGTGTTTTCGCGAAATTTTAACTCCTAAACGTTTGATGCGTTGGAAATACAAGCAGAGCCCCGAGATGTGGATGTAACTGATGCATGGACTTTGTCTCTTATGTCGGATCGTCCGTATGTTGAATCACGTGTTCCCATAGTTGCCAATGGGAGGGTTATTTTTAATTGATTCCCCGTTTCATAAAAAATCATGGATGAGTATGCAAAAAATGGAATTTAATATTTTCTCAACTTGCAAGATGAAAAATAACGAATTTGAGAAAATTTGTTGTGAATTTTTTTGAAACAAAAAGCTCAACTTTTTTCAAGAGATATTGAAATTTAGTAAAGAAATTGTTCTATATTTTTTTATAAATTTGAGAAAAACTTCCGTATCTCGAGACATTTTTCCGGATGATCGGGGCATACTTTTTTAAATTTTCAAGTGTCCCTGAGTCGAATCGTACAGATTTATGGGTGTTCGTTTGTCGGGGTCTAAAAAAAAAATTGATGGAATTTTTCCGTTTGTCCACTTTTTTCGACACGCAATTAGTGCAAACATTTTCAAGTTTTCTATCAAGTCGTGGCATTTTGAAGACGTTTCGAATCGGAGGGAATTTCTGTATTTTTTTTTTTCAAATTTAGGGTTTTATTAAAAAAAACAAACGATGCGTATATTTTCACAATTTCTAAGTCCTCGTTCCGTGCATATGTGTATGTACGGATAATATTGTGAAGACACCCCTTGGAATGCTGTACTTGGTTTCAGTACCTATAAAACTTCAGACCGAGTCTTGTATTTTCGCCACGTGTGCCAAGTACTGATCCAGAAAACCCAGGATCTGTGCCTTCGAAATGAAGAAATATTACTGTTGACATTTGTTTATGAAAAATCTTGGCATTGTCAAGATTTAAAAGAATGTTTCTGGCAGCTTGTTTAGTCTATAGTTTTTAAATCGGATGATCCTCGTTTTTTATTATTATTATTTTTTTATAAAAAAGATCACTGTTGTTGATCTCAGTTTAAGTTTGGAAGAGTATCTTGAACTCTTGAGTGACTTACAATTTCTCTTAGCTTTTCGGTTTTTTTTTTGCGTATGAATCTTTCAGTTTTTCAATCACGAGCAAATAATGTATCTAAAGAAAAAACTAAAGCTATAATTTGGATGATCGACGTAGAAATTTATTCAAATTTCTCAAATGAACTTTTAGGAAAAAAATGATTATTTGAATATAGTATTTAATTCATGTTTTTTATGAAATCACCGATTGAATGACGAGACGCTTTGCTTGTCTACGCGTATTTACATTTATTCGAATTCATAATTTTATTTTTTGTGTGTCTGTTCAACTCGTATTTCTCACGCGTTTTGTAACGTTTTTTAGTTTTCAACACTAAACGATTTTCTACATTAGTGCATTTGGCGTTACTTGCAGAATTTATTGGCGTTGTTTTTAGTGCCTGTAAATGCTCGAAAACCTCTTATTCTCTTCATTGGTGATTTAATTTATGCAGAATTCTGAAAATGTGAGACGAATTAGTAACGAAAGTATTTTCTCCTTCTTGGAAAATGATTTTTCTTGCGTCATACATTCTTTGGCACTTCCGGGATATTTTGGTTATTTGTCTCCGGGGTAAATTTATGATACCCATTTTTAGGGAGTGTCTGAAAAATGATTATTTCGGGGTGCGTTGCTTCCGCGTTTTTTTTCTTCACAAATATTGAGAATGCCAAGAATCTTTCCCTTGATAATTATTCAATTTATTCAAAATTTAAAAAAAGTACATTTGAAGTACGTTGAATCGATTAGTTGCCTTCAGTCGATTGACTGATGGTTTCTTTTTCCCACGATTGGAATCCCGATCCCTATAATTTTTTCAATATTATTATTTATAATTTTTACCCACAGTATTCCGTATTTGAAAGAAACACTGAAGAAGATGGAAGAAGGAAGTGACTGCGTTTGACGTTGTTTTCGTCTCCGGCGCTCCTCTTTCGTATTTATCCCCGTTCGTCATTCGCTGTCGGTGATAATTATTTTTTCAACTCCTGTGACAGCTGTGACGGGAAAATACGACAAACACTGCGACAGATGAACACACCATCACACTAACACAGGAGACACGAACCGCTAGCTGGAAAAATATACCGCGGAAATGCGAAAGAGGGGATGTCAATAAATTTATGGGACTCGTGAATTGAGTCAAGAAAATTTTGAATTTTTAAAAAAGGATTTCTCGAAATATAGAGAATAAATTACGTTGAAAATCACTACTAATGATGATTTATGATATTTCTTTGAAATGATGTGATATTTTCGTTCAAATCATCTCATGAGGTCGTAAATGGCTCATGATCTGACTTGTTGAGTTAATCACATCTTGTGTCAAATTTTTCTGAAAAGTATTCGAGGTATCATGCTGTAATTTTTTTTTGGGTGAGTCAGTCCCAAGGCCAAGTGAAAATCTTCGAAAAAATACAATATGTATGGGGATTTTTTCGCCTGTATTTTTAAATTTCTCACGTCGGCTGATGCAAAAATCTATTCTGTTGCTCCCTGATCAATTCCCAACACTAAACGTGTTATACCAGAAATACTGTATAAAACGCATAAAATTTGAAAAATAATTGACTGGAGTTTAAAATATTCACGACTTCATTGCTCGATCATTTTCAGTTTCTTGAATAAAAAAAGAACTTGAAGGAAAAAATAAATCTTATTTTAGAAAAGCAAAATCACTGCGGAAGCCCTTCAATGCACTTAATTTTATATTTTAACCCAGAATTTATGAAATGAATGCGTGATTTCTTTTCGCATCTTGACGGTTTAAAAAAATATCCAGGGTTACTCCGAATTTTTCCGGAGAATGGAACAGAAAATATTCTTGATTTGACTGAAAGATTTCCTCTTATGAAACTGAATGTATTTTTGTTTATCTTAAAATATCTGTTAAGATTTAATCAATTGTCGTTGAGTTGAAAGAAAGGGTATAATAAAAAAGTGGAATCTGATGGAAACATTTCTAAAGGTAATCATCGGAGAAAAGATCAAAAAGGACACGAAGGAAAATCTCGTTAAAACCGAGATATTTAAAAATAAATTTCGATTATTTTCTGCACGGAAATTACTGTACATGGATTCGAAGACATCAAATTTTTTCAATCCACTCTCTTGTTCCCATTTATTCATCCCAACATTTCCGCATTTACAGATGGACGTTTTTTTTCTTTGTTGTTGTACGAATCTCTGCGTGATTGCGTTCCAAGTGAAATTTATTAGAACCGGTTGACAGGATGATAGCGATAAAAGTAATTGAATAATGGTGTATTTCAGGCTGTATTTTTGTGGAGTTTACGGCTCGGGTTTATGCCCCATTCAGTCCGTTGGAACTATGAGATTTTCGGGGGTTTTTATTGCGTATAAATCTTTCAAGATGAAGCAATTTGATGGGAGGTGCGTCGGAGAATCACGTGTTCCCATAGTTGCCAATGGGAGGGTTATTTTTAATTGATTCCCCGTTTCATAAAAAATCATGGATGAGTATGCAAAAAATGGAATTTAATATTTTCTCAACTTGCAAGATGAAAAATAACGAATTTGAGAAAATTTGTTGTGAATTTTTTTGAAACAAAAAGCTCAACTTTTTTCAAGAGATATTGAAATTTAGTAAAGAAATTGTTCTATATTTTTTTATAAATTTGAGAAAAACTTCCGTATCTCGAGACATTTTTCCGGATGATCGGGGCATACTTTTTTAAATTTTCAAGTGTCCCTGAGTCGAATCGTACAGATTTATGGGTGTTCGTTTGTCGGGGTCTAAAAAAAAAATTGATGGAATTTTTCCGTTTGTCCACTTTTTTCGACACGCAATTAGTGCAAACATTTTCAAGTTTTCTATCAAGTCGTGGCATTTTGAAGACGTTTCGAATCGGAGGGAATTTCTGTATTTTTTTTTTTCAAATTTAGGGTTTTATTAAAAAAAACAAACGATGCGTATATTTTCACAATTTCTAAGTCCTCGTTCCGTGCATATGTGTATGTACGGATAATATTGTGAAGACACCCCTTGGAATGCTGTACTTGGTTTCAGTACCTATAAAACTTCAGACCGAGTCTTGTATTTTCGCCACGTGTGCCAAGTACTGATCCAGAAAACCCAGGATCTGTGCCTTCGAAATGAAGAAATATTACTGTTGACATTTGTTTATGAAAAATCTTGGCATTGTCAAGATTTAAAAGAATGTTTCTGGCAGCTTGTTTAGTCTATAGTTTTTAAATCGGATGATCCTCGTTTTTTATTATTATTATTTTTTTATAAAAAAGATCACTGTTGTTGATCTCAGTTTAAGTTTGGAAGAGTATCTTGAACTCTTGAGTGACTTACAATTTCTCTTAGCTTTTCGGTTTTTTTTTTGCGTATGAATCTTTCAGTTTTTCAATCACGAGCAAATAATGTATCTAAAGAAAAAACTAAAGCTATAATTTGGATGATCGACGTAGAAATTTATTCAAATTTCTCAAATGAACTTTTAGGAAAAAAATGATTATTTGAATATAGTATTTAATTCATGTTTTTTATGAAATCACCGATTGAATGACGAGACGCTTTGCTTGTCTACGCGTATTTACATTTATTCGAATTCATAATTTTATTTTTTGTGTGTCTGTTCAACTCGTATTTCTCACGCGTTTTGTAACGTTTTTTAGTTTTCAACACTAAACGATTTTCTACATTAGTGCATTTGGCGTTACTTGCAGAATTTATTGGCGTTGTTTTTAGTGCCTGTAAATGCTCGAAAACCTCTTATTCTCTTCATTGGTGATTTAATTTATGCAGAATTCTGAAAATGTGAGACGAATTAGTAACGAAAGTATTTTCTCCTTCTTGGAAAATGATTTTTCTTGCGTCATACATTCT